TTGCAAGCATACACAAGGTCTATCTTTCCAAAACTCATTAGAAACATGGAAAAATGATGCTTTACACAGTACCTCTCATAAAAACAATATTTAAAGTTCTAATTGGATTCAATGCAGTTAGGTTAAAAATAGAATAATCCAACTTATAAATCTAAATACATAATTTCAATACAAATCTCTTTTTTACTGCACATACCAAAGTATTTTTAATGCTAACTACTTTGTATAACAGCAAGGGCTGTATCCTCAAAAGACTTTATGTACTATCATCCAATTCCTACCTCAAGGCAAAAAATAAGCTGCTCACAGGAAAATTTAAACTAATTTCTGCAAAACTTTCCCCTGCTTGTGACCTGTAAGATATTTCCAGCCCAGACTCAAAGAGCTAATTTTTATGGGTAAGAAGAGTCCTTTCTTCCACTGACCTCAACATTTACAGTGTTGTATTGAAGCTCAAAATAAAATTAGATTTTGGAAGGAAAGAGTTTGAAATATTATGTAGAAAAATATTGGCAACAAGATTCCTGGCATATCACAGTATTAAAGCTAGAGAATTTTATCTGGAAGGCTGGCTACACAGTGACTTAAAAAAACACCATAAACACAACGTTTTGAAACCGAAGACGACATTTATAATCCTAAGTGCCCTTGGTTAGTAAGTCAATTTAAGAAAATGAGTAATGCAAGGTTTTTAGTGTCCAGTTGCATTTTTTTCTGTAATACTCTCCATTAGAACACAAAACCCAACAGAAGCCAAATTAAATGAAATTAAAGTCCATTTAACAGAGTGTCCTCTAAATTCAAGGTAAAGACCATTACCATCCACAAGATTCCAAGTAAGCAACAAAGGACAAATGAATGCTTCCAACAGGCACATAAGGAAAGAAGTACTTGAGAACAATGATAAAACAGGAGGTCCTGGTGTTTATAATAATGTGAGTATCAACCCCAGTTATAAGTATCTGGGAAGGTGTAAAATGGGTGACAGTAGTTGATCAATAAATGTTCTCAGTGTTACTACTACCACCACAGCCACCACTATAGTTTTAGCGAGGTTGCCACTTTCTGCAAACACAAATCTCTTCAAGGGAAGGTGTTTAGGCAACATATCAGTCTTCAAAGGTTTTTGTAAGGGGTATTATTTCTTTATTAACATATCAGATCAGTCACTCTGAGGAACTATGGTTTTAATAGCCTTGGTAAGGGAAGAGAAAGGGTCATCTCAGTGTGAAGGAACAGTGGCCAAGCATGGCCTGCAAAGAGATGCCCTGGGAAGCAAAGGGCATGAGAGGTGAATGGTAGTTGGACAGGTCACCTGAGTGCGGAGCAACAGTGATGGGGAGAACACAGAGCAATCCCTCCTTCAGACCATCTCAGACACACATCAGGAAATCAGGTCCAATCTCAGAGCTATATTATTTTTAAAAACAAAAGTGATATTTTTAATAGTTCCCAATCCCATGGAAAAGCAGTATTGTGACTTAACGTTTATCTTTAGGTAAGATGTGGCACAATGTGAATATTTTTGGAGACATAATATTTGAATTCTAGTTCAAAAAATTCCTTCCCAAAAAGGGTTGGCATAGCACCGCTACAAGGATTTATACAGTCTTTATAATAAAGTATAATACTGACAAAGGGAAATAATTATGTGCAGAGAGGGGAAGGCACCAGCCCAAGTAGAATTGCTCATAGAGAACCAAGGACTTTGCTCTGTCAGCCAAGAATGAGGCTCCCTTGGATGAATCCATAAATGTCAGGTCCAGAAAGGAAATGCAGGTTTCCCTTTTTTAAACAGTACAAAAGGCCAAGAAGCTTCAGAACTAAACAAACCAGGCCTGACCTCATAATAGTGTACTAAAAGCAAAGTCACAGATGTTTACATTCAGTCCAAATCAAGCCTAATATTAGAACTGAAACAAATAATTGTCTCAGCCAGATTTCAGGTTCCAAAAGGAGAGCAGACAACTCCTGAAAGGAGATCCATCATTTGCACCTGCTAAGTGCTAAGCACTGTGACAGGCTCTTTGCCTATGTTAGGACACTCAGTCCACATAGCAGCTGAATCTCTACCCCATAGAAAGCCATGGAATCTGTGGGCGGACTGGGGGCAAGGAATGGGCTGAGACTGAGTCCAAAGGGCAGTTAATGTTCACTACCGTGAGCAACTACCTCTGGAGCCAAACATTTTATAACAGTTGATCCCGGTTCACCGGTCAGAAGTTATTTGCACTAGAAGTTATTTGCACAGCAAAGGCTTCTACCACTTAGGACTCTAGCCTGGGGTCTCTAACCATGACTACGCCACCCTTCAATAAAAAATTTATGACCATTGACCCCCAGTATACGCATATTTTAAATTATATACATGAACTACTATTCTACTATATTATGGTAATTATAAAGCATATATGCAATACATAAGTTAGAAAACAATTATATTTCAAATTTTCAATTGAAATTGTAATATTTTCTTCTCCTAACCCAATGGATCAGGCAGGGTATCACATTTTGAGACTGGTTTTTTTGATCTTTCTCTTCCAAAACATTCCCAATGGGCACGTTCCACTTCATGGGTCCCCTAGTCTAGGAAGAAGTGACAGAAGTGGAATAGGTCTGCATATTTGGCCTCTACACCTGAACCCATATTCATTTTCTTACAATAGTCAAACTTGAGAAGAGAGAGAGTGACTTCTTTGATCCTCAGTAGACAGACTCTTCCCAAGAGTGGTACAGATTGCTTTTGCATGCAGATATGAAAAGGAATGTCACAGAGACATGCATCTCCAACGTCCGCTTGGACACTAATCACATCTCTTTCTCATCTAATGCCACTTCAACCAGAGTCAAAAATTTAACTGAAAAGATCTGAACATGTTCTTTTTCTCTTCTTTTGCCTGAGTCACAGTAGTGATTCTGTGACGTTAGGCAAAGCATTCAACTTCTGCAGGCCTCATTTTTCATGTAAACATTGGCATTAGCTTTGAGAATGACTAAGGATTCTTGTGGACATAAAAATCTAAAGTTCTAAAACAATTCCTAATTTTCCTAATATGGTATGTATAGACTATGGAATGTTACACAGCTATAAAACTAACATGGAACAGAAAACAAAATACCACGTATTATCACTATTAAGTGGGAGCTAAATGATGAGAACTCATGGAAACAAAGACGAGAACAACAGACACTGGGGTCTACCTGAGGGTGGAAGGTGGGAGGAGGGAGAGGATCAGAAAAAATGACTATTGTGTACTAGACTTAACATCTAGGTGATGAAACAATCTGCACAACAAACCCGTGTGGCACGAGTTTACCTATATAACAAACCTGCACATACCCCGAACCCAAAATAAAAGTTAAAAAAATTAATAGGAACAGATTACAGAACTAAAAACAAAAACAAAAAAAAAGGAATATTATGCAGCTATAAAAAGAATGAAATAACGTCCTTTGCAGCAACATGGATGGAACTGAAGGCCATTATTCTAAGTGAAATAACTCAGAACATCAAATACAGCATGTTCTCACTTATAAGTGAGAGCTAAACAATGATTACACATGGACATAAAGACAGAAGTGACAGATACTAGGACTCTAAAAGGCAGCAGGGTGAAAAGGAGTGAGGATTAAAAAATTACGTATCTGATACAATTGTTCACTATTTGAATAATGGGTTCACTAGAAGCCCAACCTCCACCAGTACACAATATATTCATGTAACAAACCTGCACATGTACCCTCTGAATCTACACCAAAAAAATATTTTCAAACGATAATTTTTCTTACCCTGGTTTATCTCTATGTTCAAATGTTGGCTATGATACAATGTGAAATGTGAATCACTAATTAAATGTGCTGACCTAGAAAAAAAGCCACTTCTATCATCCCTCATCTGACAATAATACAGTAAAAGATAAAGGTGTCTGATGGGTTCCTAACTGAACTAGACCAAATGGATGAGGTACCTCTTTCGAGGAACACAAGGCTGAGTCTAGGTAAGACACCTTCCCCTCTCTTTTTCTGCAAACACAGACACAATCACACATGTACAGTACCCTTATGTACACCTGTGAATGTATATGGAAATCAAATAACGGCATAACCCTAAAGAGAGCAGGAATTATATATACCCCAAAGAGAAGCTGGTGTAGAACAATGTTAAATATTACAGGGATTGTTAACTGGTTGTTAAACACACAAAGTACAAGATATTTTATTTTGTTTATTTATTATTTTTTTGAGATGCAGTCTCACTCTGTCACTCTGGCTGGAGTGCTATGGCACAATCTCGGCTCACAGCACCCTCTGCCTCCCGGGTTCAAGCAATTCTCCTGGTTCAGCCTCCTGAGTAGGTGGGATTACAGGCACACGCGACCATGCCTGGCTAATTTTTGGATTTTTAGTGGACACAGGGTTTCACTATGTTGGCCAGGCTGGTCTCAAACTCCTGACCTCAAGTGGTCCGCCCGCCTCAGACTCCCAAAGTGCTGGGATTACAGGTGTGAGCCACCAAGGCTGACAAGATATTTTATTTTTAAAAGGTTCTGGTGGACTGGGGTTTTAAAATAAGTTAATTTTGGCTCATGGCAGAGCACTAAGCAGGGCACAGAAAAGAATGGTTCCAGTCTCATCCTACCATTCACTAGCAGTGTGAATGCTTCCTCTAACAGTTATCCATGTGTTCCTTAGTTTTCTCATCTGTAAGATGTGCATTCTTTTTTAAAAGCAAGATCAAAATCATTATTTCTGCTGGTAAAAACTGTAAAAGAAAAAATCCAGCAATAGATGAACAGTCAGCTATTGTATGGTACTCAAGGAGACATTAAATTATAATAAGTGTGTGAAAAATAAAATTTTTTTTACCATGTTAAATTAAAAAGGAGAACAAAATTGTACCTAGATATTATAAAAGGGGGAGGGTATTGAAAAGCATGAATCCTGAAAAGCCAAAGTCATGATTTTCCCATTGGTTTTTCTTTTCTTCCCTTGGTTTCGTGTTTTTTATAAATAATATGTATACATATAGAGGAGGAACATTCTTAAAAATGCATGAATCTAAAACACAGTTGACTCTGATCTGTCCACAAGATAGAAAGGATTCTGAACAGAGATAAAAAACCCAAGTGATTACTGCTTGTGTGAATTAGCTAGAAAATGAAGGAGGGCAGCTAATGCTTCCTTTCAGGAAGATAAAAACTTATATCCCAAAGCATCAAGGCTGAGCATATTCTTGATATCTCGAATCCATTTGTCAAAACCCTATTGGCTTCTCGGAGAAGTGTACTTGTTAATCTGATAGAAATTACATTGAAACACAGAGTAGCATGAGGTCTACATCAGCCACATGGGATCCACACAAGTTGGATGAGGAATAATTTGTGTGAATAGGGTGGAGGTGAGACGGTATGAAAATCCTCAGAGAGGTTAAAACTAAAAAACAAGAATCCAGTTTCCATTTTTCTCTGGAAAGCCCTCTTTAAGGAAATATAGAATTGAAAATGATACAATGAGAAAAGAACATCTGAGGAAAGTTTTGATATATTCAATGCCCATTAAATTACTTATTACTGCATAAAATGAACTCTTTCTTCAAGAGAAACACTCAGGTACTTCAAAATTCTGAGATAACAGCCTTCCATTGTAGGCCACAATTGCTCATTTTGAATGATTCTAAAAGTCTGAAAGTATCAGAGAAATATGCATTTTCTTATTGGTAATTGGTCCAATAGGTAGAACAAAATCTTCTGCTCAGTAACCTGATGCATTCCAAGGGAATTAAAAGACCACCCAGTAGCATCTTAGTGTGAATAACAGCAAGTTTCTAAAAAAAAAAAAAAAAAAAAAAGCCAAAACAAGTACCAGCCACTATAACCCAGAGTGAATGTGTGAGCTCACCCTGGAGCTCAAACACAGAAAGTGAGCCCAGAGCTCAGGCAGTGTCAGCTCTTATAGACAGAGCAGGAGTGAGATTATGCCCAATTCCCCCTGCCCAGGAGCTTCATTTCTTCCACTAGGAGGCTCTGATCAGACCACTGGGAAGAAAGGAGGTATCTACAACAGTCTCCACTCTCTAGAGGCTGACAGTCTACAGAAGTAAACAGAAAGCCAAGTGACAAAGCCCAGCAATGCTAAGTGCTATTACAGAGAAGACATGAGAGGTCGGAGGAGGCACATGTTCATGCTCAGAGCACAGTAACTACCTGGTCATCTACTATGGTACTGGACAGCTTGGCAACCTCATTGTGCTTGTGGTTATTAGTTTCTTCTGGAAAATTCCGCATATGGTTTAGCATGACTGGAACTGAGATGGAAATGTCAGTCATTCGTATTCTCTCCCCCTCCCTGTGTCTTCTTCATGGAAGATAAGTACCTTCTATGTATCAGGCATTACATATACGCATATAGTTCAGTTACTCCTCAAAATACCCTGTGAACTTATTGCCATTTTATAGATGAGAAAACTGAGTTTCAAATACATGACAGAGCTAGTACAGTTCTCTCTCTCCCTCTCCCTCTCTCTCTCTCTCCCTGTGTGTGTGTGTGTGTGTGTGTGTGTGTGTGTGTGTGTGTATGTATAAAGGAAGGGTAACAGGAAAGTGTTGGAGAAACAATAACTTGATCTGGGCTGAGAATCCAGGTCCACAGGCATTTGTATCAGCCTCTCCCACTTCTGATGTTTGCTTAACAGTGAACTTGACTGACCTCAGAGAACGTTTTGTTTTATTTTGTTTTAATTTTTCTTTTGATCCAGTAAAGATAGGTGTAGGAAAATAACATCTCACATTTCAGGGACAGGACCTCGATTGACTAACCCAGTTCTAACTCCCTGCAAAGCTGGAGAAAGAGGCCTAAACACAAAGAGCCTCTGCATCCCATATACCCAGTACTGTGCAAATATTTATGATATCAGAGTGGAAAATTTCAAACTCTGAAATAGAACAGCAGTGTGATGCCACCAAATATTCTAGCTTTGGGGAAAAGCAATGTTGGAATCTAGTGAATCAAGAGTAGACTGGTTTAAAATGGCAGGTCAGAATGATCTTAAGACTTCTGTCAGGAGTGGGACACAGAATGGAGAGGATGCAAACTGGAGAGGGAAAGGGGGAAAAAGGTGTGGAAGGAGAGGGAGAAAACCCCCAACGCCAAGTCTGGGTTATCGTGTGATTTTGCTTCACATGACATGGGTCATGGATGCCTGTCATACATATACATTAACATGTTTTTTTTTCTTTTTGCTGTTGTTTTATAAATGTCTGTTCCTGAGAATCCGACTTTATGATTAGATTATTTTTTTTTTTTTAATTTCAGTAGGTTTGAGCAGGTACCAGTGGTATTTGGTCATTAACATGTTTTTAAAAAGCTATAGGTGAACAATCTTTATCTTGCAAGAACCAGTGAGTATACCATTAACAATAATAGTATTGCTCATAAAGCTGAATATCTTCCATGTATCATGCATCACACACACACATACAGTTCAGTTATTCTTCAAAATACCTCTTAATTTAACGCAGGGATGTAGGTATTATAGCCATTTTATTGATGAGAAAACTGAATTTCAAAGACATGACAGAGCTAGTACAGTCAGCATTTTACCATAAGTCAGCTTTCTGCCTAAGCCTGTGTTCTCCTATATCTGGAGTGGGAATTCTCCCAGGGAGCAATAGGTGCCTCTGACTACAACTTACTGACAAACAAAAGCCTCACTACACAGCCAGGCGCACTCACTTCTAAAAGTGTTAACCTAGAAAATCACCCAAAGAATGCATCTATGTGCTTTAAAACTGCCTTCTTGGTAGGCTGCTGTTTAGGATGTCTGCCAGGTACACAGTGCCTTGCCAGCCACATGCCAGAAGGAGAGCTGCCTTAGTTTGCAATCTCCCTAACCACCACTTGCTCTACCTTTGCAAGTAGTCAAAACTAATCAAAATTAACATAAGTGAGTGAGCTGTGAAACTCCTGTTCTTAACAGTGGGCTGTGTGGTGGGAGAGCACACAGATGGAGTTTCCTTTTTAAATGAAATATTTGGCACTAGCCTCTGTTAAGAGTTTTCCTTTATTTCCATCTGGTTTTAGTATTGGAACGCATACACGAGAGAATGGAAAAAGAAAACTCTGTTGGCGTGCTAAACCACTAGAAAAACTGAAGTCACTGACAGCACATCCTCTAAATCCTTGGAGATTAGCACATGCTGCTCAAGGAATGTTGTCACATTGTTTTTAAGGGAGGGGAGAGCTCTGTTCTTCAGACCTGCCCTATCTTGAAAACAACAACAACAAAAAATGACAATGTGTCTGCTTTGGAGTCAGACGGACTCAGGTGTGAGTCAGCACCCTTGTTATTTAGCCACCTGACCCTGGGCAGTGCATCTACTGGCATTAAGCCTCAGCTATTTCATCTGTAAAGTAGAAATAACAAGAGAAGGCTGTTGTGAGGATGAAATGAGATGATACCTGTTAAATGCTTACTTATCTATTATGGAGCTTTCCTATTCACAAGGTTTTAGGAAAGACAAATGTTATTATCACTGGTTTTCACAGGAAGAGATCTAGAACCACCAAGGAAATTCTAAAAAACATTTCAGGCATCTGCTTTTTCTACTACACAACTGAGGAATACACATTCATATGTGGCAGTGTCCTTGGCAGGAGCCTTCCCAAATTTCCCTGGGGAGTTAATCTGCTCTCTAAGAATCAAATACATCTACTAACAGTGTCACTGTAATATGTGAATTTCTTAACAGCCCAGTTGTTGGTACACAGGACTGCTACCACCTAGCCAAAACCCATAGGAGACCAGAGTAATACTGACACATGATTATCACTAAAGCCGTATGAAAGCGTAAGAAAAGACATTTGGTTTGGCAAGTCTTTTCTCACAGGATCCCTACACCTACAAGAGAAGGAGAGAACAGCACAGTGGATAAAGGAATAGGCTCTAGAATCAAACCTGGGTTCAAGTCCTTGTTTTGTGACTCACTAGCCAAGGATCTTGGGCAAGCTAATTTGCCTCTATATGCTCATTTTCCTCATCTACAAAATAAGAACAGTACTATTATCTACCTCATAGCACTGTTGTAAGGATTAAAGGAGTTAACATATAGATCAGATATACAATATGTTTGAACTCAATAAATACCACAACTACAATTATTATTACTAATCCCAAAGCAGGCTGATGACACCCTAACTCTATGAGCACTGAAGCATGTGATAGGTGCATGGCAGGTGCTGCACTGCAGGTCACTTAAAATTATACCTGTGGCCAAACCTACTGAACTAGAAAATGTTTCAGAGGAAAACCCTCTCCTTTTCACTTCATGTAATTAACGGTTATTGTTTTACAAATGCTCTACTCAAATGTGTCTGTGCACATATCCTAGAAGAACCAAATGCTCAATAAATAGTATAACAAAGGATATTGCCTTTTTGTAAAATTAAAAAGAATGTGAGAAAACTCAAAATCAAGGCACTAAAAATAACTTTTTTTATTGTGTTGTCTTCTGGAGTTAGTTTTATAGCTGGATGTACACACCAAATCTCTATAATACAGAGACAAAAGGCTTACCCTGATATATATTCCAATGTAGGAAAGCCTGTTAACCAATAACCTTAGAAATGAGATAGAATGACATCATGGAGGCCAAAAGTGTTCCATGTCTCTAATTGTGAAGAGTCAGAAAGGAATCTACTATTTAAAACACGGCCCTCTCTACCATACCCCTCCCAGGAGAATCAGAAGAAATGAGGTGCTGTGGCAGTTGCACATGGCCATGGGTCAGGGACCAGGTGGATGTCTGACTCTGCCACTTCCAAAATGACAACCCCGGGAGATCATAACCTCTGATGAACACTGGTTCCTTCATCTGTGAAATGAGGGACATACCACTCAATAAATAGGGATGCCACAGGGATTAACTGGAATTAAAACAAATAATATAATATGCAGAAGGTGAATATTTTTTACTTTTACATAATTTTCTAAAAATTTATTTTCAGTAATATTTACTACTTGTATAACAAAAAATATTATATATATATATATATATATATATATATATAAAATTATTTTAGTTGATTTGTACTTCCTCTTTTACTGCTAATATCTTTGTGTGCCTCTGACTTCGGTGTGAATATCTTCATTTTTCCTGGATAAAAACTCTTGAAAAGTCAACTTACCGCTGCTGAATAAATCATTTCTACCAAGGTCAAATTTCATCTGTCTTGTCTCTTCTCTCTCTTCTAATATTTATTGACTTTGAGATGAGTGCCGGTCTGAATTAGAAAGTAGATAAAAAGGGTTTCTTTCCTACACCACATCACTGACAATTAAATTTGGTTACCCTAATTCCAGTAGCAACCCGTAAAGAATTTTCTCAAACCCTCATAAATGTTTAAGTGTTGATATTAACTACCTGGATTTTTCTCTACATGATATGCATGGAGTGAGAATGAAATTTGATATAAAAGTTCCATGGGGGTTCAGATCCCTAGACTCACAGAACCCAAATGAACCTGAATCTAACTACTCTGAATTTTTCAACTGAAAAAACTGAAGCCCAGAAAAATCAGAGGTTTCACCATGGCCAGACAACAAGTAAGAAACTAAAGCAGTTTTAAATGAAATTGAGTACCAAAAATATATCATTATGTCAGACATCCCAATAAGACAACCAGAGTATATCTCCCCAAAACAGCAAAGCTTCTCAACCTTAGCTTCAGAAGTTCTTGCATAACACTTTCAAAATACAGATTAGCTTCCCTACCAGCCCCTGGTGCTGCATTAGTAGGACCCAGGTAGAGCCAGGCCATCTGTACTTTCGGAAATTCTAGAGCGTACTATAAGGAACACCTAGGGCTGCCCACCACTGAGATAAAGGGCAGTATTGGCAGGTTCTATGCTCCTAATCCATGTCATTACCTTCCATGGGTATCTATTTACATAAATTATCTCATCAAAGAGCATTCAGAACAATTTTGCTCTCTACAAATCTAAAACCATTTAGAAAAGATTAAGATTTTCTGTTTCAACAAAACATGTAAAAGAATGTACTAATCATAAAAATTAAAGTTCCCACATGTTCCTTCTCTGGGGATGAGCAGCAGCCAAGGGAAAATTTTTATCCATTTATGGATATAATGGCTAGCATCATATATTACACACACATAATTAAAACAGAATAGGGAAAACAGATTTTAAACATGAAATTACAGAATGTTCGGTAGGTAACTAATGTCTAATAACAAACTGATTTTAACTTAGCATGTTTCTAGTTTAGTTTTATAGACCCAAATTATCACGGGCAACTGACTATAGAAATTGTTGTGGGCAGGGCTTGCTTTACACTTTGAATGTGTTAACAGTTCAAAGTTATAAATAAAGTCTACACTATAATCAGGTATGTAGTAAACCAAAAACTCAAATAGCGTCTACCATTAAGCATCTATTGTGTTTATATCAAGCAATGTGCCAGGTGCTATAAGGAATATATCATATTGGCTCCAGTCTTTGAGCAACCTAATCCATGTGAATGAGCAAGAATAAAAACATAGCAGAAAATAAAGATTTTGCATTCAGACAGACCACATAGATGCAAGCACAAGTTTAGATGATACACAACTGCTTCTATCTGACCATTCAAAAAGGTCACTGGAACAACTTCTCATGCCTATAAAAGAGACAGCTAGTTTCCATTCATCTTAAGATGTACATGGAGGTAAAGAGGTTAATATTTTCCACTAGTGGCGCAGTGGCTCAGGCCTGTAATCCCAGCACTTTGGGAGGCTGAGGTGGGCAGGTTGCTTGAGGTCTGGAGTTCGAGACCAGCCTGGCCAACATGGTAAAATCCTGCCTCTACTAAAAATATAAAATTAGTCGGGCAAAGTGGCATGTGCCTGTAATCCCAGCTAGTCAGGAGGCTGAGGCAGGAGAATCACTTGATCACTTGAACCTGGGAGGTGGAGGTTGCAGGGAGCTGAGATTGCACCACTACACCCCAGCCTGGGAGACATAGCAAGATTCCATCTCAAAAAAAAAAAAAATCCATTTCATTGAGATATATTTACATATAATAAAATATATCCATTTTAAGTGTGCACCCTGATAAGCTGTCAAAAATGTATGCACCTAGGTAACCAACACCACAATCAACAAACAGAGCTCCTAATGTCACTGCAAAATATCACCTCCGGCCCCTTCTCAGTCAATTCTGCCATTACATCTTACTTTTGTCAGTTCTAGAATGTTATATAAACAGAATCTCATCGTATATTGATGCTTCTCTCTGTTTGTTTTTTTTTTTCACACAAAATAATGCTTTTGAGATTCATCCATGTTGCTGCATATATTGGTAGTTCATTTCTTTTTACTGCAAGGTAGTATTCCACTGCAAAAATGTAAAATAATTTGTTTATTCATTTAATATGTAGATGGATATCTGAGTTATTTCTGGGTTTTGGTTATTATGAATGAGACTGTCATGAATACTTATGTACAACTCTTTAGGTGGACGTATGTTTTTATTTCTCTTGAGTATATACCTAAAAATAGGGTACATGTTTGACGCTATAAAAAACTGCCAAGTTGTTTACTAAAGCAGTCATATCATTTTTACATTCCCATCTGCAAAGTATGAGAGCTCAAATTGCTTCACATTTGTTAACACTTGGTATTGTCAGTATTTTTAATTTTAGTCATTGCTGAAAAGAAAAAGCAGAAACCAGTGCTTTAAGAATGTTAATTACAGAGGCATCTCAGTACATAAGCACTTGTATATACCATTCAGGAAGTCAATCAATCCATGATTCCAGTGAGAAACACTCAAATCCTATCCCAAGACACCACAAGGAACTAGAGAGATTATTTTTCTCCTTACAGAATTAAACCTAAATAACTCAAGAAAGATCATCTTATTTCTTCCACTCCAGCTCCTTTTTTGGATATCTCCAGAGGATATTTAACCTGCTGTGAAAATAATAAGTCTTATGATCACAGACCTCTAACTCTGATCACAAACTGTACTAGATATTGGGACGAAAATTCACACAAAGAAAAGTTAGTAAAAGACATTGGATACATATGAAACACCCATGTCTAGATGCATATTTTGGCAAGCTTTTAAAGTAGTGATACTTCTCCATTTTTAAAAATTTAATGCTTCATGCTGTTTGAAGAATGGTTAAAAATTATTTGCAGACATTGTCCTAATTTGGAAAAAGTTCACCAGTTCAAAATGAATAGCTGGTTTTCATCAACCAAACCACAATAGTTGGAGGGCCTGGGCCCCCAGAAGGCGTAGGCAGTTCACACTAATAGCAGGAAGAAGATTGTCATTCCAAGGCTCTGCTTTCACTTCACAGACTCCTATGTGAGCTGAGCTACAAACAGGTCATCCCTATACTGAATAGGAGAATAGGAGAAATTCAAAATCCTGCTAGTCTTTTAATGAACCTGCCATTCTCTCTGCTTGGAATGCCCTCCCACCCACACAGTCCTCTTTTCAAAACCAGTGAAGCCCTATTTTTCTCAAAACTCTTGGTTCTCCCAACCAGGCCAAATTCTCTGCATACATGCTTTCACATCACTGTATTTTTTCTTTTTAATCTTTTACAGTTTATAACTATGTTTATTTCAGTGAGTGACTTATTAATGTCTATTGCTGCTTGCCCACCAAATTAGGTAAGCTCCGTGAATTCTTTTCAAAGTGGTACCCACAGAACCTAGAATGCTTGGCACAGAAAAGGCACTTAATAAATATTTGACTAGTTAATTGCTAATTAAAACATCACCTTATCAGGGATGTAGCAATATGCCTCTAAGCTTCACACAGGTTAAAAAATAAAGGTAGTTGCTTCTTTGTGACTTACAAGAAAAATCAAACTGCAAAAATCTTGGGTGTCAAAGTTGCCTGCCTTTCTCCTGCCCTAATTTCCACTATACTGTCTGCTTAAATGTCAGATCTACTTTATCAATGTACCCTCTCAAGATGCAAAAGCATGAAAAGACTGAAGAACAAAAGATTTTCCTCCATTAGAATGTAATCAAAAAAGCAATTCTCATAGTTTAAACCTGAAGGTCTTGGTAATTTGCAAAGGAAATACAGTTATCCCATAAGTCCCAGGTCATTATCTTCTATGGCAGGGGAAATGAAATGGTTATGCTATTTCACTGAGATGAGGTTATTAGAGTCCCTATATCACTCTTGCAGACTTGATCAGAATCAGGCAGACAATAGCATATGCCTAAAATGCAAACAAACTGTTCTTCAGTTATACATGTGTACGAGGCAAAACTCAAGTGGCTTCTAGACCATCTACCTTTCTTTCAACTACTCATCTCAACGAACTATTGAGAAAATAGAGCTTAATAAAATTAGAATCACTAGGTGTCTATACTAGGCCGATGTTCAGCTCAGCCCAAATGCAAATCAATATTTATTTAAATGTATTCTATTCATTATTTGTGTAAGCAGAACTCTGGAATCTAAATTTAAGAATATGAAAATATTTTTAAGACCTGGGCTGGGTGTGGTGGCTCACGCCTGTAATCCCAGCACTTTTGGAGGCCACGGGGAAATGACTGTTTGAAGCCAGGAGTTTGAGAGCATCCTGGGCAACGTAATGAGATCCTATCACTACAAAAACTACAAATATAGTGTTTCATGCCTGTAATCCCAGAACTTTGGGAGGTCTAAATAGGAGTATCACTTGAGCCCAAGAGTTCGAGACCAGCCTGGGCAACAGAGTGAGACCTTATCTTTACAAAAAAATATAAAAGTCTGCAGTCATGGTGTTGTATGCCTACAGTCCCAGCTCTAGGGAGGTTGAGGCAGGAGGAACAAACAATTGAACCCAGGAGGTCAAGGCTACAGTGAGCGTGGTTGTGGCACTGCACTCCAGCCTGGGCAACAGAGAGAAACCCTGTCGCAAAACAAAACAAAATGCAGCAGAATTTCATTAATAAAATTCTAGCAAAGTATTAAGTAAGGCTACATCTTTCTTCCACTTAGTCGTCAGATATTAATTGAGGCCCTAGAATATGCCAGGCACTGCCTAGCACACTAAAGAAATTCAAGTATTCTCTAATAATAACCAAATTTTATTAACCTAATCCTTACTTGGGATAAACAGGAACCAATGTTTCAAGGTCAATTCTCCCATAGTCATTTAAATAAAAGCTTTCTTCTTTTTTTTATTTTTAAATTTTTTTTTGAGACAGAGTCTCACTGTCACCCAGGCTGGAGTACAGTGGTGTGATGTCTGCTCACTGCAACCTCTGCCTCCTGGATTCAAGCAATTCTCCTGTCTCAACATCCCGAGTAGCTGGGATTACAGGTGGGTGCCACCACACCCAGCTAATTTTTGTATTTTTAATAGAGACAGGGTTTCACTATGTTGGCCAGGCTGGTCTCAAACTACTGACCTCAGGTGATCCACCTGCCTCAGCCTCCCAAAGTGCTGAGATTATAGGCGTGAGCCACCATGCCTGGCCCATTGAAAAATAATTCTCACCAAAGTGTTATATTCTTACTTCATTTTAATATAAGACAGTCTTAGAAATTTACATGTTCCTTCTGGCAAAAATTTACTTTTACCTAAAATAAATTCTGATAAATAATCAAAGGCTTAGATTTTTTAAAAAAGCTAGAAATGGCCCAAAAAAGTAAAGTTTTATTCCCAAACCTACAATTGAAGGAAATTTTTTAAAAAGATAAAGTGAGCTTAAATCTTCCATTATCCCATGCAAGAAATATTATCATTGAGGCGATTCCTCAAGGATTTAGAAATAGAAATTCCATTTGACCTAGCAATCCCATCACTGGGTATATACCCAAAGGATTATAAATTGTTCTATTATAAAGGCACATGCACATGTATGTTCATTGCTGTGCTGTTTACAATAGCAAAGACCTGGAACCAACCCAAATGCCCAACAATGATAGACTTGTCAAAGAAAATGTGGCTCATATATACCATGGAATACTATGCAGCCATAAAAAATGGTGCTTTTGTGTCCTTTGTAGGGACATGGATGAATCTGGAAACCATCATTCTCAGCAAACTGACACAAGAACAGAAAATCAAATACCACATGTTCTCACTCATAGGCAAGTGTTGAACAATGATAACACGTGGGCATAGGGAGGGGAACATTACACATTGGGGTAGGTGGGGGGTTGGGGGGCCGGCAAGAGTCAGTGGTGGGTGGGGAAGTTGGGGAGGGAAAACACAGGGAGAAATGCCTGATGTAGACGATGGGGGGACAGATACTGCAAACCACCATGGCATGTATGTACCTTTGCAACAAACCCTGCGGGATGTGCACATGCATCCCAGAGCTTAAAGTACAATAAAAAAAAAAGAGAAGAAATATTATCAGAAATATCACAAATGCCCCAAGTGTTTAGATTAGTATCACCTATATTCCATGAAAAATTTATCCAAATTTTATCTCAAAATTCTTAATATGAATCCATTGTAAATCCCACAGATCTCCTACAATTACAAACAGAGAGAGAGAGAGAGAGAGAGAGAGAGAGAGAGAGAGAGAGAGAGAAGAAAAAAAAAACCCAAGAAAATTCTAAGCTTAATAAAACAGATGCTTCTTCCTGACAAGGCAATGGCTATCAGGCAAAGCAATGACTTATGAACTGAATCGACCTTCTCACATTCCATAAGGTGCCAATATTTATCTTGAGACAAGTGATTCCTGATTATTGGCAACAAAGCCAATGAAAGTCAGGCTGTGAGTAATGACAGCTATCCAGATACCAGGAACTGTTCTAAACAAGAATCCCAGAGGATAGCCCAT